AATGGCACCCCATCAGCTGGTGTACCCCGTAATGCCCACCATAAGGACACCCCATCAGCTGGTGCACCCCATAAGGACTCCAGTAATGACACCCCATCAGTTGGTGCACCCCATAATGCCCACTGTAATGACACCCCATCAGCTGGTGCATCCCATAAGGACCCCAGGAATGACACCCCATCAGCTGGTGTACCCTGTAATGCCCACCATAAGGACACCCCATCAGCTGGTGCACCCCATAAGGACCCCAGTAATGACACCCCATCAGCTGGTGTACCCCGTAATGCCCACTGTAATGACACCCCATCAGCTGGTGCACCCCATAAGGACCCCTGAAATGACACCCATCAACTAGTGCACCCTGTAAGGATACCCCGCAAGGACCCCCCACCAGCCGGGGCACTGAGGAAACTGGTGCATTAAGGGCATAAAACAAAAGGGCCAAGCCTGAGAGGCGCTCATTGGCGTTATGTGGTGTTCTGCAAGGCAGGATAGGTGCCAGGGCAGGGGATCCTTTGGCAATGGGCCGTGGGGAGGGTTTTCCAGGGCTGCTGGGTTTTGGGGGAGCCTGCGGCGGTAGAGGCCGTACCAGCTCCCTGGCTCTGTTACCAGCATGTCGCAGCCACCGCGCAGACCCCATTTAAAACCCAAGGTATTGCAGAACCGGGGAGAGATGCTGGCTGGGGAGCAGGGGCTGCAGGCGAAGTGCCACCGAAGCCACGGCAGCAGGCACTTCCACGGTTAAAATACTCCGGGGCTGTGTGGGCAGATTGACAGGAGGGAGCCGGAGCTGTGGCTGCTGGTGCCGGCTGCCAGGGGAGGGCACTACCCACTGGACATCTCAGGGTGCTGGGCACTGCCTGGGCTTCTCTGGGCCTGACGGAGATGTCTGAGCTGCTGGGGGGTTGCCCTGCGACCCAAAGGCCGCAGCCGCCCCGGTGAAACTGGGGTGGGTTGCTGAGCCTTGTAGCAAGCGACTCCCTTGTACGGGAGCGGGGGTGCCAGGCTGGGGGGCTCAGGGTGCACGGGAGATCCGGGAGGGTGTCCCTTGCTGGCTGGTGTGGAGGAGAGCAGGACTGCCCCCAGGATGATCGGGAAGGGGGCGCGGATGACCCCATGCCTCAGGCGAGGGTGCAGGTCTGCTGGACTGTGCCCGCCCTTTGCTCTGGCAAGTGCTTTTTGTAAAGCCAGCAGTGCACCTGGGAGCATAGCAGCTGGTGTCTGGGCCCTAGTCCTCCTTATCGCTCCCTGCGGCTGCATGGCTCCGGGGGCAGCAGCTGCTTGAGGAACCCGCACGACCCCTGGGTGCAGCTAGAAGCAGCTGCTGCCCCAGCCCGGGGCTCACCCTTGCGCACAGGGACACGCGTGGCTCTTGCATGTGGGAGCAGCACCCTCTAGCGTCCACGCAGGAGCCCTGATGCCCATCTCACCGGCAGGCGGTAGCAGCACGAAGGGGACAGGCTTGGAAAGAGCCAGAGGCTTTGGCCAGAGGCTGTGCATCGCGGTGTTGGGCAGCAGAGCAGGACCGTTTCCCTGCCGTGTGCTCTTGCCTCTGGCCTGGGGAGAAAGGTGGGCCCTGGTCTGTGCAGCCGGGCAGAGCCCGGTGGAAGTGCATTGGGGGTCAGTCTGTGTGGGATGGAGCCCCCCCACGGCCAGCTGCTGGAAGTGGGGCCTGTCTCTTGTTACGCGTTTGCCTGTGGCGGTGCGTAGCTGGGCGTCTCAGAAGTCAGTTCGCACTGTCAGTAGACAACAACAGAGAGCAAGCCTCTGGGTCCAGAAGCTGGGCTGCCCTTCACAAGGCCTCAAGCTCTCCCTTAAACGGTGCTCTGCACTTGGGTTTAGGTTGCACCGGTTTATTTGTCATGGCCTAGTATGTCTGAACAAAGCTCCTTGTGACCCCCACCCCAGAGCAATCCCCCGGGCCAGGGCAGCGGGGTTTGGAGGTCGCGGCTCTGCCTGCTTAGAGAGCACTACGCAAGACAGACGTGCCCTGGAAAGGCTCCCTGCCCTCTTTGCCGAGTCCCTGCAGAAGCTGTCTAGCAGACACGGTGTCACCAGCACTACAAAGCTGCACCCGAGCCCCGTTTCTTCAGCGAACGCCACGACCACGCAGATCTTTAAGGTTTCCCCTTTCCCAAATTGGGCCTAAGCCTGAGCTCACAAACGCCACTGACTTCAAGTGGGTAGTGGATCGTGGACCCCGTTTATCAGCTACCCAGGAGCCCTGACACTGACATAGTTAAACAGAGCAGAAAGCAACATGCTGCTTCAAAAACGGCCTTGTCCTTCATCTGAAAGCCCTCCTAGCACTCTTGCCTCGAGGCCTGTTAAGGAAGTTCCTTATCCTCAGCGCTGAACGACCGACTACAGGTAGGATCCTACAAGCAGTTCATCAGTTTGAGTCGTCTTTCATGCCAGTGCCTTCCTTCAGTAGGTTCGCCTGCATTCGTACGTTCCCCAGACCGGACTCCCGTCATCTTTGCCCCACGAGGAGTTGTCGTGAAGGGAGGTGGTCTCGCTGGGCTCGTCTGACGAGAGATGGATCATCTTGGGAGTCAGGTCATTGGCTACAGTCATAAAGGACGGGAAGGAGTAGGACGAGGTGCCGGGGTACCCGGATGCATAGTGGACATCCTCCAGAGCGTGCAGAGAGTAGGACTGGGCTCCAGGGAGTGAGGAGCTCCAGCTCGAGCCCCGGTATTGGGAAGTGCCGCTGCTCTCATGGGGGAGGCAGCTGGTTGCGGTCGACAGCGTCTGCAGGGAGTCAGAGCAGGCGACGTCCGGGGGGTTGAGGCTGTCGGGCATGGTCTGCTCCCAGGAGTCTCTCTGTGAGAAAAGTGGGGAGAGTCACGGCTTGCTCAGCGCCCACGCGTGATCATCTGGGCAGGACCCTCCCTGCTTGCGCCAGCCCAGGAAGCCATCCCGGTGCTGGACCCCCCCATGGAGCTGGACGGGTCTCACTAATATCCAGCCTTTGGCCGATGCCAGACACTGCCCAACGTGGCGCATCCTCCCCCGGAGGAAGCCCGTGGCCCACCCGCTCTCAGCCAGGAGCAGCGCAAACACTCACTATGAAGAAATGTGCCTGGTCGCTGGGGAAGGGCGGCAGGAGTGGGGCCAGCGAGGAGGTGCCAAAGAGGGAGCTGGTGCCAGGTGGGGTGCGATAGTCCCCGTACTGGTCGCTGAAGTAGGGGTCCAGCAGTGGCGGGTACCCTTGGACGGCAGAGGAGTCTCCCGGGAAGGGCTTCGCTGCCAGCGGGGACGCGTAGACCTCGCTGGGGTGCTGCTTTGTGCCGTGGAAGTCCAGCTCGGAGGCAAATGGTCTCCTCATCCCGTAGTAGCCAGACAGCGTGGGGGAACCTGCAGGTCGGGGGAGCGGGATGGGGGTCACAGTTTAAATGAGAGGCACAGTGCCCCAGAGCTGATGCACGCAGCCCTGTCTCTCCTCCACTCCTCCATCAGGCAAAGCAGGCAGCCGCTGCCCAGAGCAGGAGGATCCTGTCCTAAACCAGTGCCCTCAGCCCCTGATCTTCAACGCGGGCATTGCTCCCAACGCCCAGCATAACCTCCTCTTTCCCGCCTCAGGTCAAGTAACACCACAACTTGCTAAAGATGCGAAACCTTGCCTCCCTCTTCTCCCCTGTAAGACTCAGGGATGCCTTGTTTAGGAAATGGGTACCCTGTAGCACACCCACTATGGGTGTACTGCAATAGCACATGCCTGCTCAGTAAGGCAAACTGCTAAATTGGGGATCAGTCTGCTTTCGTGCCCCTTTTGGGCATGGGGGAGTTAATGGTTTTAAAGGCCCCTCCACAGAAACCCGAGGAACAAAGACCCTGGAGCCTGGGTGGAGAAGACAGGCCATGGAGCATTCTTAGTCCTGTTTGACTGCTGGGGAACTGCCGGCCAGAGAGACCGAGAGCCAGACCCGACCCTAATGTGCCTAGGTCTGATACCACCTTTGCCCCAAGACCTGGCTCTGCTGTCTCTGCGCTCCCTTTGGGACTTTATTTAAGGGTTTCAGCAACATTAGGCTGCCTTTCTGGGTTAACCCTGCAGTGGCTTACCTTCAGTGGTGAATGTCTCCATCACAGCCCTGCATGCTATTATCTTAACATCCTTTTGTAGGACAGATGGGACTGGATTGTCACCGTGAAATAACGCACCGTTGAGTAGAGAGACTCACCTGACATTTGGACAAATGAGGACTGGGGGCTACTGGCGCTGCCCTGAAAAACAAAGACACGTTGGCAAGGTTTTGCTCCATGGTGCAGAGCATGCGCACCGTTCAGGAGCATGTTTTGCATCATTTCCATGTACTTTTGGAATCCCAGGCTATGACTAAGCAGCAATTAGGTACAAGCCTTCAAGCCTCAGAGAGATAAAGTAACAGCAGACGGAGGCCAAGGAGAGATTTCAGAGTTCTCGGATTGTGCTGATAAGTCAGAAAAGCAAGACAGCACAGCTTGGGTCTCCTGGACCCGAAGGGTGTAGCATGGCCCTAATGCAGATGAGAATCAGGCCCAGCTGACTCACTGCCCAGACTTCCCTGGCCCTGTGCAGGCATTCACACTGGCACAAAGCAGGCATGAATCCTTACCACTCAAATTCAGCAGCACATCGCTGCCCTTTTGTGCAGACCTAACTGACTATGTGTGGAGCAGTGCAAGGCAGAGCCAAGAGTCAAGCCCTGTGCGGGTCACCTGGCGGCAAAGGGCTGAGCAGCCAGAGCATAATGAGTGCATGCAACTACCAGCTGACGGTGTTGCCCTGTTCCCTAGTGTTGCAGTCTGTGCGTTGGTGCTAAAGAACCTGAGCTCCAATCCCAGTGATGATCTATGCAATTAGTGTGCAATCCGGTTTGTCCTGTGTGCAAGGAAAAGCTACAGCAGAGCTTGTTATTCTGGCCATCACTAATTTATTCCCCACCGGGGGTGTTAGTAACACAAGCTTCCTGTCTTTTCAGGGCTTTACTGTTTCAGCTCAGGCAGAATCAAGAGACACCAGGGTTCATCAAAGGACATAAAGGGAAGAGAGAGCACCAGATGAATCAAGAACAGGGAGGCGTGAAAAACCCCTGATGCTGCAGCCCTCAT